GCCAACTCTGTCAGGCACAGTTGTAGATGCAGGGAGTCCAGCCAGAAGCAAAACAACTTTTAAAAGTTCTGCTTTCATGGAGCTTATATTCTAATGGAGTGAGAAAAATCATGAAGAAATAAATAAGTAAAACATTCAGTACCTTAAATAGTGACAAATGCTAAGAGAAAAAAAAGAAGAGATAGGTAGGTTGTGGGTGATTGGGAGCAGATTGCAGTTGTCTATGTGGTGATTCAGGAAGGCCATGCCAACAATCCTGCTATTTCACCAAATGCAGTTCCGAGAGCAACCATGTGGATATCTGGGCTAGAAGCGATGCAGGTATAGGGGACAAAGTACAAAGGCCTTGAGGTAGGTTCTCGCATGGTATGTTAGGAGGCCTGCATGGTTAGGAGGCCAGTAGCTAGAGAAACAAGTGGGAAGAGAGAGAAACAGAAGGCTGAGAGGTAGCTGGGTCAGTGGCAAATACTGTAGGACTTTGTAGGTCAATATAAATGCAGACTTTGGCTTTACTCTGAATGGAAAGGAAAAACAGTGGAAGATTGTGAGCAGAGGAAGGTCGTGACATTTTAAGCAGATATATTTGCATCCTTGACAAATATACAATGTTTTTTGGCTGTCTTTTAAATGAACATAAAAAGCATTGTGCTAGGAGTACCTGGGTGTCTCAGTCCATTAAGCATCTGCCTTCAAATTAGGTTATGATTCCAGGGCCCTGGGATTGAGCCCTAAGTGTCCACTGGGGTCCCTGCTTAGTGGGGAGTCTACTTCTCCCTCTGCCCCTCTCCACTCTCATGCTCTCTCATAAATAAATAAATAAATAAATAAATAAATAAATAAATAAATAAATAAATAAATAAAGTAAGTCTAAAAAATAAAGGCATTGTGCTGTATACCTCATTCTGCTTTTACTTTTGCCACCTAACATTGTTTTTGAGGTCTACCCAAGTTGCTGCCTATAAATCTACTTTATTCTTTCTGACTCTGTGTAATATTTCATTGTTCACACAAAGCACATTTTACCTAAATATTCCTCTAGCAACAGATGCTGGCACAGCTCCCACTTCCTGTCACCACAAATAGTCCTGTGATTAACATGCTCACATTGGCTCCTTATGGACTTTAGGAGAGAGTTTCCTGGGGGTGCGCACCCGGGAGAGAGATTGTGGAGTGGGAAGGGGTGTGTGTTCTTAATTCCACTGGGATTGTATTTCAGATAGTGTTCCTAGTGTTGCTCCCACCAGCAGTGTGTGATGGTTTGTATCTTCTCACTGAATTCTCATGCTGATCCAGTGAGGACCCTTATGGATGAGGAGACTGAGGCTTAGAGAGAGTGAGCAAATTCCCTGAGTTCATGTGGTCACAGGGAAGGGCCAGGGCTCACATCCAGTATTTCTGACATAATGATCGTTGCTTTTTCCTCTATAGTACCCAGCACTGCCTCTTCCATAAATCAGATGAGGCAAGCATAGGCAAAAAAACATTATTATTATTATTATTATTATTATTATTATTATTATTATTTTCCTGGTCTAACCCAGTGAGCCTAGGATCCCCACATGTTTAGCATCAGCATATTATGAAGGTGTGTAGTTAGAGTCCTTGGAGTTTAAGGGCAAATTATATAGAATAAAACTAATTTCATTGTCTCATGAGGGCTAGCTAACAGGCTTGAGGTTTTAGTGGACGATTTTGAAACTAGATGTTTATAAAGACTAAGTATCAACGTTTGAGGATTTTATTTTATTTTATTAAATATTTTGTTTAATTAATCATGAGAGACAGAGACAGAGACAGAGAGAGAGAGAGAGAGAGAGGCAGAGACACAGGCAGAGGGAGAAGCAGGCTCCATACAGGGAGCCTGATGTGGGACTTGATCCTGGGACTCCAGGATCACTCCCTAAGCTGAAGGCAGATGCTTAACCGCTGAGCCACCCGGGCATCCCACATGTGGGCATTTTAGATCAGATTTCAATATTAAATATTAGGTAGATTATATTAAGTGCAAAAAAAGAGATGATATTAAGTCCATATTGTTAGGCACTGAGCTATGTACTTACAGGCATCATTTCACTTACTCCTAACAACTACACTAGGAGGGATTTACTTTTACTCCCACTTGACTATTGTGGAATCTAAAGTTCTGAGAGGTTAACTAACTTGTCCAGAGTCACCAGCTATAGGTTGAGTTGAGATTTGAACCTGAATCATCTACCTGCAGAGCCTTACTCCTAACTACTCAGCTGTGCTGCCTCTCTGTGAAGGAAGCTTTTAGAAACTCTTCCCTTTGAATTTGAGGACAATGTCTATCAGTTGGGTGGTTTAGAACAGCCATGCAAAGTACAAGGTTAATAGACAAGAATCTCCAGAGGGAGAGGATAGGAAGTTTGAAAATGTTCCCCAGGTATCTTTATTATGCCTCTGTTCCCCGAAGTGGGAACCTCTGCATTAGGACATCCTACCTGGATTATAGGGCCTGAGCATGATGCCTTCAAACAGTAGAAATTCTCTAACTGGGCATGAATGATTGATTGCCTATAACCCAAGACATCCTGATATTTTTAAAACAGGTGTCCTCAAAGGCAAACAATTCTTTATCACCTTTGTGTGGCTTATAGCTGCCATGAGTGATGTATGTTCAAGGTTTCATCACAGTTGGTTTTTTCCCTTCACATTTTTCATTTTTCTTGCCTTCTAAAGGAAGGAAATACCATCTATATATTTACCTGATCCAGGTTTATAAAGGTTTCCTGGCTACAAAGTATGTATCTCAAATTCAAGTAGATAGAAATTCTGGATTATGTGCTCTTTCGGGTTTCTCTTCTCGGTTTTGGTCATTTTTCAACAAATATTTTTGAGCACCTAACTCACAGTCTGATGGAGGAGACAGGCAGCTGACCTGGAATTTGAATACATAAGGATAAATGGCACATGTGGGAAGTGCAGGTGCTATGAGAGCACATAGGAAGGGCAGCCTAAGGGTCAGGGGAGGCTTCCTGAGGAAGCACTCTTGAACCGGGAACTGAAAGAGAAGTGGGGACAGGGTAGGTAAGTAAAGTGGTCAAGAGGGCAATAGAGGCAAGGGAACAGGGTGAGTGCTGAATTTCACAGCTGGAGCAGGAACTGAGCAGAAGGTGAGGCTGGAAGAATGAGCACAGGTCAGATGATGAAGGAAGGAAGGACTATGAAGGAAAAGCAGTGGGAACCATGGAAGGGTCTGAAGCCTGGGGGTCAGTGGGGGACACTTCAATCACATTTATAGTGTAGAAAGATTCCATGAGTTAAGAACTGACCCTCCTTATCTATTTCACATTTGTTGGTAAATCGTAATATAAGAACTGGTGAATGGCAAATAAAGAGTCTATATGGATTTGGATTTGTAGACAGAAGGGCTGACCCATAACCCAAGTCTTCCTTTTGATCATCTATAGAAAATATTTTTTCAGTGTTTTTTTTTCAGTTTTGCCTTGATTTCTGTCTTTAGAAACCTCTGACAGCATTTCCTAAAATTATCTCAAACCAAAGCCTAAGCACGGAGGTGAGTGGGGGTTACATGACTTTGTTTTCTCTGTTCTCCACTACTCATTTCTGGGGCATCACTGTGATTTGTTCTTCTAGAGCCTTTCTTCCCTGAGGAGGGAACCATTTCAGTAGTAGCAGGGGAGTAGGGAGAAGGTGGAACCTCATGCCAGTTCCTTCACTAAGAAAACATTTGGCATATTGAAAGCATGGTTTGAATGAGTTAAAAATAACTCCACATGAAAAACTAATAGGGAGTTACAGGTGCACGTTTTAATATAGGCTCACAGAGCAGGGAAGATTCTCCAGGCCTGTGGTAGCTGACATCACAGATAGCACAGGGTGTGTATAGAGCGTAGTGTGGCCAGTAAGGAGACTGTCTGTAGAAGTGAGCTCACCTTCTCTCCTGTAGCCCAGAGAGGGAGGAGACAGAAGGTATTGTTAGGTTGTGAGCTACTGAGCTAGATCACTTATTTCTTTCTCCCTATGATTCACATACTCATAACTGTAAATATAACTATAGTGAATTTTTGTCTGGGTGCTTTGGGTGAGGTGTTTTGAATGTCAGAATTCATAAAACCACCTTCTTGGCACCTCTCTCTTTTCATCCATAGACCCTGGGTCAGCTGCTACCCCCATTTCTCCAGGGTTTCCTTCCCAGGCAGCCTGGTCTTCTCCTTCTTGCAGGTGGTTATGAAGGCTGTGTCCCCTTTTCCCTCCTCCTCTATGTTCACAGCACCCCTATGGGTCTAGGTGAGTAAAGGGAAGGGGTGGTCTGTACATTCTTGGCCATCAGTACAGCTGAATGGCTGAGGCAAAATGCAGAGAAAGGGGGACAAATTTCCATATGACCTTGGCTAACTGATATTATGGCTAAGAGTTTTAAGACTGAGATACCAATATTTGTATTTTACCCTCAGATGATATTTTTAAAAAGATTCTGCAATTGCAACCATGCCTGTTAGCCCATGAATTAGTGTGTCATTACTCATGCTCAAGCACACCACTGTGCATGTGAATTCTTGCACAATACATTCATGTCCTGTTGTATCTTACAGCTTAATTAATACATGAAGGTATAGGAGTTGGACGAACTCAAATAGGATTATGTCATGTAGTATGCAAAACAGGAGAATGTAGGAAAGTATCTGACACTTTTCTGGGGGCAAGCCAGTTAATTTCTCTATGATGTCTCTTGGTGTCAGTTTCTGTGATATTTGGGCTGCAACATATGGCTTGTGACTTCTGAGCATTGGTTGAACACAACTGTTCAGTAAATATTTATTGTTTACTTAGGCATTATGGAGAGACAGCACATGCCAGATGGAATATGAAGCAGCAGATGTGAAGCCTGAGCAGTGGAACTCAGCAACCCAACCCAACTCCGCTTAACTCAGCCTCACTGAACCTGATCTGAGACTCTCCACTCCTGCACTTGCTACAGCTCCCTGACCCTGGAATCCTCTTCAATTCTAGCTAGAATGCTGTGTCAGGCCCTTCGCAGATTTGGTCAAAAACTAGTACGCAGACTTACACTGAAGAAAGAGAGGGCTGAGACTGCCCCCGCTGGAAGACTGACCACACTGGATTTAGTGGCCCTTGGTGTGTGCTGCACAATCGGTGTAGTTGCATATGTCATAGCTAGTGAGGTGGCTCGAGATCAAGCAGGACCATCCATTGTGATCTGCTTTTTGGTGGCAGGCCTATCTTCTATGTTGACTGGGCTGTGCTATGCAGAGTTTGGTGTCCGGGTTCCTCATGCTGGCTCTGCATATCTCTACACCTATATCACTATAGGTGAACTCTGGGCTTTCATCATTGGTTGGATCTTCATCTTCTCCAATGTTGCTGGTACAGCCACTGTGCTCTTTGCCTGGCTCTTAACTTTTGACAACCTCTTTGGGAACCAGATCTCTCAGACCCTGCGTGAAAGCATCTTACTGCATATTCCTCAGGTGCTTGCAGAGATTCTAGGCTTCTTTGTTGTGGGCCTTTTGTTGTTACTTGTCAGATTGCTGACCTTGAGGGCTAGGGAGTTGGTAATGTTTACCAAAGTGGTCACATTGGTGAACCTTTTGGTTCTCGGTTTTTTCATCCTCTCTGGTTTCATTAAGGGGGACCTGCACAACTGGAAGCTCACAGAAGAGGACTACATAAAGGCTGGACTCAATAACACCTCTAGCTTGGGTCCTCTGGGCTCTGGAGGATTCGTGCCTTTTGGCTTGCAGGGGATTCTCCTTGGATCAGCTAACTGTTTCTATGCTTTTATAGGTTTTGACAACATTGTTACCAGAGTTAAAGAAGCACAGAATCCCCAGCGTTCTATCCCCATGGGCATTGTGATTTCATTGCTCATCTGCATTTTGGTGTATTTTGGTGTCTCTGCATCACTTACACTTATGGTGCCTTACTACCAGCTCCGACCTGGGAGCACCTTGCCTGAGGCATTTTTCCATATTGGCTGGGCCCCTGCCTACTATGTTGTAGCTTTTGGATTCCTATGTAATCTTTCTGCCAGTCTCTTGGGTTATATGTTTCCCATAAGCCAGCTGATATACACGATGGCACAGGATGGCCTCCTCTTCCCTGTCCTTGCCAGGATCCAAACTGGCACATATGTTCCCATCGTGGCCACTGTGATCTTTGGCATTATTGCAGCAATCATGGCATTCTTTTTGGGACTCACTGATCTTCTACACCTCAAGTCAATTGGGACCCTGCTAGCTTACTCCCTAGTGGCTTTTTGTGTTCTTATAGTCAGGTATCAGCCTGAGAGGAAGAATGGGGGAAGTGAAGATCAGATGAAGGAAGAGCATGATGGAAATGGAGCACAGATGCAGGAGGAGAATGGATCTACAGCAGAGAAGCTGACTCTACACCAATTATTTTTTCCAGGCAGCTCCACCCCCACTGCACTCTCTGGATGGGTTGTCTCTGTTTGCTCCTCACTGCTTGCTCTACTGCTGACTCTGCTCTGCCTGGTGCTGACCCAGTGGCCAGGTCTGCTTTCTCGAGACCCAGTCTGGATCACAGTGGTTGTGCTGCTCCTGGTGCTCATCACTGGGATCACTGGGGTCATCTGGAGACAACCACAGAGCCCCTCTCCCCTTCACTTTAAGGTACCTGGTCTGCCTCTCCTCCCAATCCTGAGCATCTTTCTGAATGTTTACCTTATGATACAGATGAGAGCTAGCACCTGGGCCCTACTTGGTGTCTGGATGCTGATTGGGTTTGTTATCTACTTCACATATGGGATCCATCACAGCCTGGTTGCATAGCCCCGCTGAAATTAGGGCCCAAACTGTAGACCTTGAACTCAGCAGTGTCGGGACATCTTTGGTTTGACATCATTACTCCTGAAACACTCTGGTCTCCCTGTACATTAATGGAAAGTACTCTTCAGCAAATGGAAAGCTAAGGCTATCATGGCATGTTGATGCAGGAACATTAATAGAGCTCTGTATTTATTGTGGAGTGAAGGATGTATTTTAATTTCCTTCTTTTTTTTTCTGTCTCCTTTCAATTCTGTCTGTAGCTGCTTACTGGCTTTAAAACATTATTATTCAAATAAATTAGAAAAATTATTTTTGTTTTCTTTGGATAAATATCTAGTAGTGAAAATACTGGATCATATGGTAATCCTATTTTTAATATTTTGAGGAAACTTGATACTCTTTTCACAGTGACTGAAAAGATTTACATTCCCAACAATTGTACACATACAAGGGTTCCTTTCTTAGCTTTTTAATTTTAGACATTCTGTCAGGTAATAAGTGGTATCTCATTATAGTTTTAATTTAGATTTTCTTGAAATTTAGTGATGCTGAGCATCTTTTCATGTATCTGTCGGCCATCTGTTTGTCTTTGAAAAAATGTCTATTTAGGTCTTCTGCCTATTTTTATATTGGATTTGTTTTTTTCAAGTGTTGTGTAAGTTCTTTATATCTTTTGGATATTTACCCCTTATTGTATATATTATTTGCCAATATCTTCTCCCATTCTATAGGTTCCCTTTGTGTTTTGTTGATGGTTTCTTTTGCTGTGCTAAAGTACTTACACAAATTCAAAAACATATATGCACTTTATATTTATTGTAGAATTGTTTACAGTTAGAGATAGAAGCAACCCAAGTGTCTATTGACAGATGAATGGATAAAGAAGAACACAAACATACATACACACATGCATACAATGGAATACTACCTACCCATAAAAAGAATGAAACCTTACCATTTATAACACAGAGAGACATAGACAGTATATGTGAAGTGAAATAGATCATACTGAGAAAGACAAATGACATATGATTTCACTCTTATATAAAAAATAAACAAAGAAGAGAGACAAACAAACAAACAAAAAAAACCACACCAGACTCCTAAACACAAGGAAAAAACTGGTGGTTGCCAAAGTGGAGGTGGGTAAGGGGATGGGTGAAACAGATTAAGAGAAGTAAGAGTAAACTTATCCCAATGAACTCTGAGAAACGCGTGGAATTGTTGAGTCATCGTATTGTACACATCATATTGTACACATTAACACTATGTTAATTATATCTCAATGAAAAATAAAGACAAAAAAGAGAAAAAGAAAAAAAAGATGAAATATGGCCTCTATCATTAAGGAGTTTGTATTCTAATACAATGGGTAAAGCATAGAGTAGCAGAAAGTAGAAAGTGCTTTCAAAAATAATATACAAATAAAGTGTCTTGGGAATTCAAAGTGGAGGATGATCATTTGCTGCTGGCACAGTGGTAAGAGTTGGCTGATGAAATCAGAGAAGACTTTGTAAAGGAACAGCCTTTGAGTTGGCAATCTCCATAGATAGATAGGATTTTGCCACATGTGGGCAGGAGGGAGACATTATAGGCAGAGAGAAAATCGCTACAAAAAGCACAGGAAAAAGAAGCAGTGTTCAGAACATACCTAGCAGGCTGTGTAGACTGAGAAATGGCTGTGTGAGGGGACAACAGAACATGCACATGTGAATTGGAGCAGAGCTTTCCTTTGGACACAAAGCACTTTGGCCTTGAACCCACTACCAGTGCTGAAAACCTAGGGTTGTTTCTCCTTCTTAGCCATATTTGCATTTTTGAATTTTCAAGTTTCTCTGCTGTTGTCTACTTTGGTCCACCTGCTCAGAAAGTGCACAGCTGAGAGCCAGGTTCTGGTCTGGTTTCCACTGTTAACTAGGATTGTGAACTTGAGCAAGCCCCTCAGTTCCTTCCATACTTTGCTTACTTACCTGTAACATGAGAAGTCAGAATTGATTTCTAAAGTTCCATTTACTTGAAAAATTCTGGGGATTCCTCTGGTTCTTCTGTCCTGTTATTCTCTCAACTAGGTCTCTCTACTGTAAGTGATCTGAACCTACATTGTGTCCATTTTTCCCTACAACCCATTGTCAGAGCTGTAGAGGTACAGTAAATAGCACCCATTTCTCCCTCCTATGTTTGGAACAAATTGATATAACCCAGACGTTGAGACAGATGACTAAAACATCAGCTTTAGATATGCAGCCTAATTAGTTTGCTAATCCCACATCACTAAATTAGACACTTAATCCTCATCACAAGTAGTGCTGACCACCCCTGCCCCCCATCACAGGAGAGTCTGCTTTTATTAGATTTTCTCATAAAATTAGATTTAAAAAGGAATCCAACAAAAAACTAGAAGGGGCTGAGCTGGGCATGTCTCTTCAATTCACTAATCAAAGTCACAGTAAGGGGTGGGTGGAAAGAAGCCAGGAATAGTACTCTATCCAGTGGTGCTCAAACTTTAGCAAGTGCCACGTCACCTGGAGGACTTGTGAGACCACAGATTGCTGGTCCTCAGCATTTAGAATTCAGTAGGTCTGGGTGGGGCCCAGAACTTGTCCTTCTAACAAGTTGCCAGGTGATGCTAATACCTGGTCATGCTCCCCAGGAGTCCAGGGATCCCACTTTGAAAACCAAAGCTCTAGCTAAAGCCCCTCCACATGTAAAGATGAAGGGAGGGAAACAAAAGGTACCTTTTGTACACTTACCTTCATTTAATGAAACACTTAGATAAAGATATCATCGTTAATCCTTTTACAGTGGGGAAATCATAATGAATCATTTCACAATGTATATGTATGTCAAATCACCACAATGTACACTTCAAATACCTTAAAATTTTATATGTCAAGTGTACCTCAATAAAGCTGAAATTTAAAAAAAATAAAATACCACAGTTACCTCTGCATCTTTGTTTTCTGTATTTTGTTCCCTGATTGTAGACATTAGGTAAGGAATGTATCTTGTTCACTCTCCCAGAGCATCCAGCTGGGATCCAGGTACGTAATGAACATTTAATAAATTCATATTTAGTTGAATTGAGTCTTACACATTTTTTTTTTGGTACAGAAAATTCTGCTTCTAGCACAGTGCTACTCTTTTAAAATTACCTTCTGGGAGACTTTCTTGACAAACAGCATTTCTCTCCACCCAGAACACAGAGTACTGGGTCCTGTCCCCAGGTTCTAGAATTCATCAGGTCTGGTTAGGGCCCAGAGCTTGTCCTTCTAACAAATTCCCATGTGATGCCAATACTGCTGGTATCTAGAACTGTATCTAAGTCTGTACCCAGCATCTAGCACTATACCCAAGCACTTCTAGTTTTTCCTTTGTGTGGCAACACCTGAATTCTGGTGTGTTCCATCAGACGAGAATCTTGCTCAGGGCAAAGAGTACATTCTCCTCTTCCTCTAGACAGTAAGAACAGCATTGTTATTCAATGAGCAACAGGGAAAATACAGCCCTGGGGCAGGAGAATGCCTGAAATGACCTCCCCTGGTTCAGCTCCATCTATTCCTATGGGATTTGGGGAGGGGCCGGAAGTATTGAAATTGATAGAAGGCCCAGCCTGTTCTGATTCCAGGGAATCCTTAAAGATGAGACTGACTCCAGTGTGGGCAAAACAGGCATCATTCTTCTTCTTCTTCTTCTTCTTCTTCTTCTTCTTCTTCTTCTTCTTCTTCTTCTTTCTTCAATTTCTCTCTTTAAGACTTTATTTATATATTTATATGAGAGAGAGAGTGCACACTCCTGTGCCCAGGAGCTGGGGGGGAGGGTCAGAGGGGGAATGAGGTAGGAGGAATCCCAAGCAGACTCCAAAAAAATTCTGGGAATTCCTCTGGTTCCCAGTGAGGAGCCCAATACAGGGCTAAATCTTATGACCCTGAGATCACGACCTGAGCCCAAAACCAAGAGTCAGATGATTAATGAACTGAGCCACCAAGGCACCTTAACCAGCATTTTTCTTGATACACTCAGAGTCTTATGCTTTCGTATAGAGCTGCCAGTGTTTTTCTATTTTGTTTATGTAGTTCCCTCTAGGGAAGGCCCCTAGGAGGGAAAGGATAGGAAACTACTTTTTTACTTTTGGAATTTCTCATCTTCTCAACAGGGAGTGTGTGACTCCAGGGAAGCCTGCTAGAGGTAAGATTACCCATAATGTTCTGACTCCCTTAGACACTCTTTGAGTGACTGGGGCAAAAATTTTGTGAAAGCATCTAAGATTATTTAGGGAGAGAGAATTTATACCCAAATAGGGAGGAAAATGGATGGACATAGTAGTAATTAATAACTGGATATAGATTGAGGCATTATTTCTTTGGAAGGGAAGATATGAGTAGAGAGTGAGAAAGAGGTATGGGTTGAGAGACACTTCCTGGAGGATGCCTATGGAGCAATTTGGGAAATACAAGAGGGACAGGTGAGTTGGAAAATAAATGAGACAGTAGTTTTAGGTTACAGGGAGCTTTAAGAGTCATGAAAGACGAGACTCTTGTGAGGGATATGTTTGCACATTTGAAGGGAATTTATAATCCAGGTTTGTATTGTGTATTGTGCCATGAAGTAAGATTCCTAAATCAGGAATATGATTCTCACAGCCATCTGAAGGATAGACAGAAGGATGTGGACAGATAGACTGTTTCTGGGAGACACTTGTAGCAACTGTTACAGTTATGTAGATCCTGCTCTTTAAAGTGTGGTCCATGGATCAGCAGTGTGAGTATCACTTTGGGAGCTTGTTAGAAATGCAGCATCTCATGCTCCAACTTAGACCTGTTGATATAGAATCTGCATTTTTAACAGTCTCCCAAATGATTTGTTTGGTCTTTCAAGTTTAAGAAGCACCAGCCTTAGGTGATCCATGATAGGTGTCTGACCTCAGATAAGCACTATGGAAGGTCTGACAACTTTGGAATTTGGAGCACAAGAGGAGGATCCCAGACTGGAAATCTAAATTTGGG